TTAAAGTTTAAATGAAAAAGTCCACCAAAGTAAAAGCCTGCAAAAAGAAAACAAGAAGCAAAATGTGACTCAGCAAAAAAGTGGTTGCATACAGCTTGTGACTTACTGTGAAAATAAATCATTCTTTTTCTTACAGCAAGCATAGGGTTGAGGACATGGGCTGTAGGACCACTGGGATGGACCTTGTGCTTCCAGGTCCCAGGCCCAAAGCTCTCAGCTGACCCTACCTTCTTCCTGACCTGGTCCCCAGAGGCATGTGGCCCAGGGGCAGTCCAGGAGGTGCCTGTCCCTTGTCTTTCCTGCTGCGTCCTCCTGGGCCCTGGGGGCCACTGGCTCCAAGTTGAGCCCTCTGCACTGCACTTTAGAGACGGGGATCGTCAAGCTCAGGCCTTGAGTTTCCACCTCCTGTGGGACACTGGGGTGGGCAGTGACTTGGGTGGGGATGGGGATCCCACCCGCCAGGGGGACTTGGGGGCTCCGGGGCCCTCTTGGCGGGTTGAGCATGGCTGCTCAGCCTCAGGCCACACACCTGTGGCTGGGTGCAGGGCACAGAGGGTGGAGGGCCTGCCAGGCCTGGCTTCTCTGGACCTCTGGGCTGGGTGGACGCCTAGGCTAGTCTTGAATTCCTGTCCTCAAGGGATCCTCCCACCTCGGCCTCCCAAAGCGCTGGGATTACAGGTGTGAGCCTTTACATTCAGAACTGCTGTCGAGGACCCCAGGGAGTTTGGGTTTAGCGGCATCTCTCCAGTGTGTGGGAGCCAGCTCAGACCAGCTCACAGGAGTGGCTGCCAGGTCTCCAGTAATTATACCTCACTGCAGCCTTAACTCCTGGGTCCTGTAACTCCTCCCATCTCAGCCTCCCAGGTAGCTGGGACTGTAGGCACACATTGCCATACCTGGCTATTTTTTCTACATTTTTGGCAGACACAGTGTCTCGCTATGTTGTCCAGGCTGGTCTCAAACTCCTGGCCTCAAGCAATCTTCCTGGCTCAGCCTTCCAAATAGTTGGGATTACGGGTGTGAGCCACCATGCCTGACATCAGAGAGCTCTCTTGTCTGTTCAATTCTGACCGGTGCAGCACTAGTAATAGCATTTGATATTTCCCACGTTAGAAATGTATTTACTTATTTATTTATAAATGTCGCCTAGGCTGGAGCACAGGGGCATGTGCAAGATGATCACAGGTGATCAGGTGATCCTTCCTTCTCAGCCTCCCGCGTAGCAGGGACTACAGGCGCCCACCACCATGCCCAGGTAATTTTTTTGTTTTTATTGTAGAGATGAGGTCTCGCCAAGTTGCCCGGGCTGGGCTTGAATTTGTGGACTCAGGCAATCCACTCACCTCAGCCTCCCAAGGTGCTGGGATTACAGGCTGAGCCACCAAGCCTGGCCTGCAAACTATTTTTCAAAACAAGAAATCCAGCGAGAAGGTGATGGCTTTGCGTCTCTGCAATCTCTCTGATGTGTGGCTTGTAGAAGACAGCTGGACCCTCCCGTCTACATGCCATCTGTCACAGCACACTGTTGTGGGTGAAATATATGAAGAAAGCTGGCCTCCCCCCAGGATGGTGTCTTCTTGGAGGAGCGTGGAGGTTTTAATCTGGGAGGCTGCCCTCAACCGGACCAATGACAGCTTCTCGTGGGCGGCAGCAGCATGGGGTCCGAGCCTCGCCAGTGGGCCTCTTGTGTTCTATGGTGTTGTCCTCTGTGGATCTGATTTCCACTTTGCTTTTGTTTGGTTTTGTGTAGAGGCAGGGCAGGGTCTCTTTCTGTCTCTCAGGCTGGAGTGCAGTGGCACAATCATAATTCCCTGCAGCCGCGAATTCCTGGGTTCAAGTGATCCTTCTCCCTTGGCCTCCCAAGTAGCTTGGATTTCAAGCAAGTACTACAACACCCAGCTAATTTTTTAATTTTTTGCATCAATGAGGTCTATGTTGCCCAGGCTAATCTTGAACTCCTGGGCTCAAACGAGCCTCCCACCTTGGCCACCCAAAGTGCTGGGATTACAGGCATGCGCCACTGAGCCCAGCTAATTTTTTGGCTTTTCTTAGGGGCAAAGTCTTGCTATGTTGCCCAGGCTAGTCTTGAACTCCTGGACTCAAGCGAGCCTCCCACCTTGGCTTCCCAAAGTGCTGGGATTACAGGCATGAGCCACCGTGTCCGGCTTGACTTCATTCATTTTTGAGGAAATCTCTGCTGAGCACCAAGCTGGCAGAGCCCTCGTCCACCTGTCTGTCGTGTCCCAAGCTACCCCAGTGCCCTGGCTAGTTTATCGGGAAACTTTCTCACCCAGGTGCCTCCTGGAAGTCTGCCAGCAGCTCCGCAGCTCGTCCCACCTGTCACTCAGAGTTGGGGATGGGTGGGTTCTGTGCAGTCGGTCACTCTAACTGCTCAACCAAGGCCTTCTGAGGGATGTGGCCTCTTCTCTGTTTGATGCTGGGCCTAAGCCGAGGCCCTCGCTGTTACCAGAGCCTCCAAGCACCTGTGCAGATGTTGACACAGGAAGAACAACTCTGTGTGAAGTGGTTGAGGCCACACGGACTCCCAGGGGGAACACCCCTCCTCAGGCCCATGGGCTCGGGCTCCACCCTGGGGCGTGTGACTCTGTGGCTCAGGGTGGCCGAGTGCCTCTTCCACCTCTGTGTGCTCCCCTAAGCTTTCAGGACCTGGCCTGCCCCACGCTAGGCCCGCTCGCTTCCTGCTTCTGGTGTGGTGTGGTGAGTCCAGGTCCCCTGGCTCCCAGAGTTGCTGTGAGCACCCAGCCGAGGCCCCTTCGGGTCCTGGGGATTTCTCTCAAGGCAGAGCAGCCAAGCCCAGGCTGCACACATGTACTCAGAAGCACCCGCTGTGTGTCCAGGGTCCCCGGTGGTCTCCCCCTGTTCCGGAGCACAGGTGAGCCGGGTGGGCTCCCCTGTGAGGCCAGTCCGGGGCCAGGCCCTTCCTGCCTGCTGTGAGGACAGCTGGTGGCTTGAGCGGCCCAGCCCTGGTCCCAGGCTTCCCGGCAGAGTCACGGGTGGAGTTGCCGAACCTTTGCCGCCACGTGCCGTCGGCCTGCCTGAGCTGGGCTCCAGCCGGCTCGACCGGCTCGGTGGCGGCAAGCCTGCCTGGGCCTGTGGCTCCCGGGGCCGGCCTTGGCTCTGGTGCTGAGTCCGGGGGTGGGAGCAGGGCCTCCCCATGGGGCCAGCGGCTCCTGGCACAGGGTCCAGTGGCAGACTCACCGCCTCCGGGATGTCTTGGCTGGGGGGCTCTCCACACCCGGGGCCCACACCCAGCCTAGAGATAGTCAGGGAGGCAGGAATAGGTGGGCTCTGGGGAGTGAGGGGCCCACCAGGCGCGGAGCCTCCTGGGGCACTGAGGAGCTGGGCGAGGGGTCCCAGGGGAGCCTGGGACGAGGGGGCTGCTGGGACAGCGGGGCTGGGAGGAGTCGTGCGTGAGGGGGGGCAGCCCTGTCCTGGCCCAGCCACACCCACAGGGTGGTTATTGCTGAGGTGGGGTCTTGCCCTCTCTGGGCCTCCAGGAAGTGGGCTTTGCCTGTGATTGGATGGCCCATGGGGCCCAGGGCGGACAGGGAGAGGACTCTGGCTCTCTGACACTCTCCCAACCTCTCCTCCCCCCAACCCCTACAGACGCTAGACTTTCCACCTCTTGCCTCCCTGGGGGACTTCCCGAGGCAGGGATGCCAGCTGGGGGCATGGCGCCCAGCTCTTGAGCTCTCACGCGGGAGGTGGGGGCAGGAGGGCGAGACGCAGCTTTGGGACTTGGTGGGCCCTCCACACTCCCGTGCCAGCCAGCAGTGCCCGGGGCACATGACGTCCCCTGCAAGGGCAAGAGACACGCTGGACTCACGGCCCCTGAGCAGGCACTGTGGGCCCTCCATGCAGGGAGAGTGGCTGGGCAGGCCAGTTGGGGCTGGCGAGGGTGGGTGGCGGGAGCTGCTTGGTCCCCTGGGGGCTTTGAGGGCAGAGGTCACCTGGTGGATCCCGAAGTGAAGGTCACACCCTGGGTGCTCAGCTTGGGGCTGGGCTGCCACCCGGGCTGTCTGGGCCTGGGCTGTGCTTCCTGATTAAACAGGGCCAGGGGTCAAGGGGCATCTCCGCTCCGCTCCCCCTGTACCTGACCCCGTCCGACCTCCAGTGAGGCCATCAGTGAGTCCCGGGCCTGACTTGAGACGGGGACCTGAGACAGGTCGTGTGTCCTCAGCCAGGGGTCTGGGATGGCCAGAGCCCCAAGGCCAGTGTGGGGCAGCAGGCCTCTCTGGGGACGGCCCCACAGCTGGAACGGCTGGGACTCTAGCTCTCCACATGCTGCAGGACCCGTGTGGTTGGAAGCAGGGTCGGGGTGGAGCGGCAGCTTGGCTTGTGTGGCAGGGTTGGGCAGGGTCCTGGGGTCCATGCTGGAAGGGACTCTGCGCACCGGCCTGTGCCAGCAGCTGACCTCATGGTCCTCGGTGGCCTTGCTTTGGCTGGGGCAGCAGATGTGGTGCTGTTGCCTAATTAGGTGGGACGGTGCCAGCCCAGTCAGAGCCCCACACCCGGCCCACTCCGGCAGGCGTGTTGGGGCATGGCCTGGGCTCCCGCTGCGGCAGGAAGCAGCCGTGACTGCTCAGAAACCCGCTGTTGCGGGCCGGGGCGGTGGTGCAGGGGCTTGGGTCTTGTGGGCTATGTGGCCAGGAAGCTGGTGATCTGGCCGCTGAGAACCTGCGCTGGGTGACCCCATTCCTGGGGGTGAGTTGGGGGCCGGGGTCGTGCGTGAGGTTGCCTGGGCACTGCCAGGCCTGGGCAAGGGAGGCCTCTGGTTGAGGGTAAGCTGGGTCCTGGTGGCTGATGCCCACTCCAGGCGATCCCCTGGGGCCCAGTACCCCAAGCCAGGTTCAGGCCTGCTGCTGATCTGGGTGAGGGGCAGCTGGGCGGGCACTAGGGGAAGGATGGCAGATGACTGCAGGGCCTCCTTCCAGGAGGACTGGTTTGAAGAGGGCCGTGAGATCTGGTGGGAGCCTTACCTGCCAGGGCTGCTCTGAGGGTCCAGGAGAAGGTCTGCACCGCTGGGAGCCTGGCCATCCCGCCCCGGCCGTTCTTCCTTCTTGGACGGAGCACGGCTCTGGCTGTCCGAGGGCCCGGGCATCCCCGGTCCATCTGAGGGCCAGGCCCCAGAAGCTGTGTCCTGGGCAGGCCAGAGGGCTCTAGGGCCCCACGGCCAAGGCCTTCTGCTCAGCCCCTGCTAGTTGCCCGCAGAAGGAAGCTTGGGGAGAGCCAGCACCAGGGAAGAGGTGACTGGGAGGCCTGGAAGGAGCTGGCCCCAGAGACTGGCAGGTGAGGGCAGTTCCTGGCAGGGAGACAGGCAGAGGTGGTTGGGACAGAGCCCCCAGGGCAAGGAGGAGGAAGCTGGCCGGAGCCTGGGGCCTCCTTGCGGGGAGCGGTGAGAGTTAGGGGTTGGAGCTCAGCCAAGCGGGGCTGCCTTGGCAGATGGTTGCCAGGGAGACCAAAGGCGCCTTGATTCACGGCACGGGTTGAGTGGTGGGGGCTGAAAGGGCCTGAGACCCAGGCCCAGCAGTGAGACTAGGCTGGCAAAGGGACACCCACATGCTGGGTTCCTCCTGTGGCCCATGGGCCCGGGTGGCTGAGGCAGGCAGGCGCCTCAGGCTCCTGGCACAGCTGGAGGGCTGGTCAGGTCCCAAGACACCACAGGTAGCCCTCGCTTTGTGATATTTCCTCCTGGATCCTGTAAAGGATTCCTGTCTCACCCTTGAACTTCATGAAGCCATGGGAAAAGTCCGGGCAGGGAGAAGCCACTGTAAGGCTTCATCTGCTGCTACCCTGGAGATGCAAGGCTTTGGGACAGGATGCTGTGATGGCCCCGGCCACACTCTAGTCCTCCCCGGCTGACTCCTCACACAGGGTTCTAGGGCCCTGCTGTCCTGCCCTGCACCCTCCCTGGTCTGCTGTTGATTTTTCAGGCACAATGGAGCTGGGCTGCAATACAGCACCCGCCAACCAACAGGGGGTAGACAGTACACGCTGCATTCCGGTCCAAGCTATTCACCTAGCCGGCTGGACAGACTTGCCCACCACCTCCCTCTGCTGTTCTTGCCATCCAGGTGTGTGATGTGCCACTGGCCTGGACTCCATCCCAGCAAGGGACATCACGGGCCCTGGGAGCAGTGGGACCTGGGAGCAGCCTCCTCTGGCCTCCCGCAGATGGCCAGTCTCCACTGGTGATCCAGGCCTGCCCCGCCTCCTGACTGCTGCCACCTCCAAGAGCCTGCTATCTGCCTTGATGGCTGCCCCACCGGACAACCCCCTTCCGGGCCCTGCTCTCATGCCCGAAGACCCGGGGCCAGAGCTGGAGAGCAGGTGGCTTTTTCTGAGCGCCAACATTCTGCCCGTGGGTGAGTGAGGCCTTGGCCTGGTTGCCGTGTGAGCCAGAGCCCGTTGTCTTCCCTGCCCAGCGAGTCTCTGTCCTCTGGGCCCAGGGGGAAGGTTCTGTGGTGTCACCTGGGGATAATGGGCTCTGCTGGCTCCCCGGGACAGGTGGGGCTGCACGGGCAGGGGAGTGCCAGTGTGTCGCCTCATGTGTCCAGATTCTTTCCAAACATACGGCCCCCTGGGAAAGGGGTGGTTTCCCTCAGGGACAGCTCTCTGCCCACCTCATACCCAGTGGGGTCTGGAGGCAGGGTTGGGGCCTGCAACTGAGGGTGCATTCTTTTCCATGTGTGGTCGGGCCTGGTGCTGGGACAGGGTCAGAAGAATGAGCGTCTCCCCATGGGGGGGATGTTTCTGGACTCTAGTGCAGGACCTCAGGGCGTGGGGCCAGTGCTCTAAGTGCCCGGGCTTCTGGTTTGCTGGGCTGTCCTGGCAGGCCTGTGGCCAGCTGCCCCGTGTGTGCACATGTGTGTGCGCGGTGTCCACCGCTTCTGCTCCTCCCCGGGCCTTTGCCGCTCTCCTGGCTGCGGCTCCAGGAGAGAGCTGTGGTGCTAGTGAGCACTTGCCTGTGTGCGTGTGTGTGTGCAGGTGAGGGTCTGTGTGTGTCCGAGTGCCTGTGTGTGATGCTCTGTTTACCCCTTTGTCCCGAGAGGTGGCTCTGGTTTGTTAATCCCACATTCTCCAGATGCGCCCAGGCAGGTCTCCTCCATGGCGGGTGGAGATGCGCCTGCTTGGCTGCACACAGCCCCTGTCCAGGCACCGGGCCCTGGTGTTCAGGCTGTCTGGAAGGACACCAGGGAGAGGGGAGGCTGGATGGGGAGGGGAGCAAGCTGTCCGGCTCCAGGGCCCCAGAGTCCCTGAAAGGCCCAACCCAGGCAGGGCCCTGGAGGGAGGAGCCAGGAGCCCTGGGTGCTGAAGGGGACTGGATTCAAGACTCATGGTGCAGAGAGCAGGCAGGGAGGGCGCCAGAGGGTTCTGCGCTGGCTCCCTCCACCGGTGCCGGCCCCGCCCCTGGCTTCTGGCCTTGCCCCCTGCCACTGGCCCCGCCCCATGCCTGCTCGGGCAGGTCTTGTGCTGGGTATCCAGCCCAGGGCAGGGGTAGGGGAGCCCGGCCTGGCCCTGGAGATCTTTCCAGAAGGCTCATGGAGGCAGCCCCGCTGGGCAGTGGGAGGTTTCCCAGGCGAGAGTGGGAGGCCAGCTCTTGGGTGTGGGGACAGATCCTTGGGATGGGCAGCAGCCACAGGCTCGCCTGGCCTCAGGGGCTCCTCCTCGGTATGGCCTGGAGCGTGTCCCATTCCTCTGAAGCCTCGCCTGCCCAGCTGGCGCCAACTCGGTCTCCTGTGTGTGTGGGGGGGGCGGTTGGTAAGGTGCCCAGGTTGGGGGCTTCTGGCCTGTGGCAGGTTGAGCCCTGGCCTGTTGGGGTCTGGGTCCTGGGTCAGATGGCTCCCACAGAGCCTGGGGCCATCCCCTTTGGGACTCAGTCCCAGCCTCCATTATGGGGCCTAGCCCTGTTCTCCAGAGGAGGCATGGAGGGAGGTTCCCGGCCCTGGATTGGGGCCTGTCTGGCCTATGACTCTCCCCTTGCCGGCTGGACCTTCAGTCTCAGAGCAGGGGCAGTGGTGGGGGAGGGGCAGGGTGGGGGCAGGGCCACCTGGGGCAAGGAGGGAGTCTCCTGGCTGGGGCTGGGGCTGGGACCCCAAGCTATGGGACTGCATCGGAACCCTCCACGGCCCGCCGGCCCTCATGGCTGATGGTTCCCCCCCACCCCCTGCACAGTTCGTCTTACCCCAGTTCTGTGTATCCCTGGTAACGGGGTTTCATTTAGAGCAGCTCAGCCGTTCACAGGCTCAAGGATGGGGAGAATGCAAATGCAGGCACGTGACTGGCCGCACAGGTGGGCTTTAGCCTTGGGGGCGTGCCTGGCCCCCACCTAGCGCCCGAGGCTGGGGGGAGGCCTGCTACAGGTGCTGAGGGCCTGAGCTGCCCGACAGGGTCCCTCCCCTCCCTGGCAGCACCCACCCGGCTCTGTGAGCCACTGCCTCCTGGGCCCCGGGCCTCTTGGTGCCACTGGGGTCAGATGCCAGAGATGAAGTGTTGGAGCCGGGCTGTGCAGGACTGGTTGGGTACACTGAGGCCAGTAGAACCTGTCCCATGAGCTATTGCACTGCCTGATTTCATTTCTGTTGGGCAGGTGGGGAGGAGCCTGCAGCTGCTCCCTTCTTTCTGGGGGTCCCAGCGGCTTCCCCCTTTCTCCTCCCAGTGCACAAAAGGGCTGGGGTGAGAACTTGGGGAACCTGCCTGTGTCCACCCTGAGCGTGAGATGTGGGTCCTTCTGGGAGGCACGGGTTCTTTGTGGGACCTTGCGAACTCAGAGGCGAAAGGCTGGTTTGCTGCCCCCAGTACTGAGCCAGGGAGGCCAAGGGGCTGCTTCTTCCACTGTGCTCCTCCTGGCCTGGACCCTGGGCCTCAGCTGCTGTGTGCTCAGTGTTGCTGGAGTGCTGGAGCTATGGGCAGAGATGGTGCATCCACTGCTAAGTCGGGCACGCGCCCCTGGAGCCCTGCCTAGCGAAGAGGCCCAGGGAAGGGGAGGGCCGGCGGGTGGGCCGGCTGCCGGGATAGTGGGATATGGGTTGTGGTGTGGGACCCGACTGGTTAGGGGTCTCCTGGGGCACCTGGGACTGCCGTCACCTGGCCTCTGAGACCAGCAGATCCTCCCTGGCACCTCTGGGTGGACAGGGGGTCAGCAGAACACGGCTTGTCTGGGGCTGGTGCATGGGGACCCTGGCCAGTGCCCTCGGTCCGAGGCCCTGGTTGTTGGTCCCTGGGGCTGGAGTATGTCCTCTGTTCTTGCCGAGTGAGCCAGAGTGGCTCTGCCTCTGCTCCATGAGGCTGGGGGTAGGGAGAGTGTCCACACAGCAGGACACGTGGCCCCAGGAGCTTTCCAACTTCAGAGTGTGCTCAGATCTGCGCTTCCCCCAGGATCTCACGCCAGTCTGTGTCAGCCTCTCTCCTAGGCTTTCTGTTGTTTTTTTCCTGACCATGAAAGCAAGGCTTGTGCAGAGGAGATGCCGTGGAAAACAGAAAGGAGAGAAGGAGACCCGCGGCCCCGGGCAATCCTCCAGCCTGTGTGGGGGTCATGTGCTCCTGGCTGCCATGCTCCCTCCCGGACAGCCCAGCCCTGTGCCCCGGCATGCTTGGCCGGTCACTTCCTTCCAACCTTTGCATTTTGCTGCAGAGCCTGATCGCAAATGCCAGCCTCTCCTCTCAGGAAGCTTCAAGGCACCACTGTCATGAGCGATGCTGCAAGGGGTCTCATGGGGTTGCTTTCTGGGAGCCATGAGGTTTTCTGGCTGTGGATAGCAGAGTTGATGTGCGCCAGGCTCCCACCTTCAGCCTGCTGCTGAGCAGCCCTGGGAAGCTTCTGGCCCTGCAGGACTGAAGACCCAGGCTGGTGTGGGTGGGGGGGACTGCAGGAGCCCCACTGCCTTCCCAGGATCCGCCTGTGTCCGGCGCAGGGTCAGAAACTTTGCTGGAAGGAGGCAGGGCGCACGGGCTCACTGTCAGAGTCTTCTAGGCCTGGGCTCGTGGCCTCGGTCCTCATGAAAGAGCAGTTTGGGCTCTTCTTCCCCCTGCACTCTCAGGGGCCTCTGGCGGGAAGCCCGCTTCTTTGCAGATGGCAGGCCTGGACCAGTGTGCCCCCTA